CTGCATAATGAACATTTGTATTCCTAACCCTGAATTGTACCCTACATCTTTAAAAAATCCCAAAGAATTCAAACAACTCAACAAGAAAACAAAAACAAATAGCCCCATTAAAGAGTGGGCAAAGGATATGAACAAACATATTTCAAGCAGCCAACAAACATATAAAGAACAGTTGATTTTTATAAGGTAACCAGAATAGGATCAAGGAAACAATACAGACAGTCCTCGATTTATGATGGTTCAACTTTACAGTGGTACAGAAGCAATACATATTTAGTAAAAGCCATAATTCAGTGCAGTATTTAATAAATTACCTGAGATATTAAACACTGTGTTATATGATTTTGGCTACTTGTAGGCTAATGTAAATTTTCTGAATATTTTTAAGGTAGACTGGGATAAATTATGATGCTTGATAGGCTAGGTGTATTAAAAGCATTTTTGCCATTTGATATTTTCAATATACAATGGATTTATAAAGATATAACCCCATTGTAGATTGAAAATCATCTGTAATACCCCCCCCCCAAAAAAAACACCACATATTGGTTTAATATCAGGTAACTTCAGGGTTCTTTCCTTGCAAGGATTAAAGAAGAGAGAGTTTTTTTTACGCCAGTTCAGGTTGACTGTGCTCGTTTTAATTAGTTGCTGTGAATCTCCAGTTTTTAGGAAAAAACTAGTCTATCTGGGGATTTCTCCACTTCTTTAAAGTTTCAGTTTAATTGTATGACAACTTAACACAAGTGGCTTCATTTTGGTTTGGTCTGTTGGGGCCTATTGCAGGAACTCAGTCCAAAATAATGACCTCCTATTAATTTTATTTAATAAGATGGAGCAGAGTGGTGGGTAAATATGGTTAAGTAGGTTCAAGATCATGCAGGTCTTGCAAACTGTATTAAAGCATTTGGATTTTATTCTAATAGGCAATTGTGGTTTGATTTACATTTGTAAAATTCATTCTGGCTGCTATGTGGAAAAATGTCTTTTAAAGAGAAGGCAGAGAGCTAAGTTGGAGAGGGTCCAAGAGAAAGTAAAGACAGTGGTTAGTTAGAAGGCTGTTGCAGTAGTCACAACCAGAGATAAAGCATCTAGGATCACAGATATGTAAGTAGTGATGGGTAGAAGTAGATAGTCAACTTTCTTTTAGGAAATTGCTCCTCCTGGATTTAGTAGTGTAGAGTATGGAGCATGAAGGAGAAGACGGCAAAAAAAAAAAAAAAAAAAGTAATGTCCAGTTTTCTAGACAACTGGGTGAATAGAGGTACCATTTACTGAGATGGAGATTGAGGAAGAAGCAGATTTGGGGAAGATGATCAAAATAGTCTGCTTTGGACATATTAAAAAATGAGATTACTATTATATATCAACATAAAGATTGTTAAGTCTACAATTAAATGTAGGGAGAGTTGCTTTGAAAATGTTAAAGTAAAGAAGATAATTTGACTTCCTCTTTTCCTATTTGGATACCCCCGATTTCCTTCTCTTGTGTGATTGCTCTAGCTAGGGCTTCGTACACTATGTTGAACAGGAGGGGTGAAAGTGGGCAACCTTGTTTTGTTCTGGTTTTCAGGGGAAATGCTTTGAGTTTCTGTCCTTTTAACGGTATATTGGCTGTGGGTTATTCTTAGATGGCTCTCAGTATTTTGAGATATTTTCCCTCTATGCCTAGGTGTTCAAGGGTTTTCATCAAGAAGGGATGCTGGATTTTGTCAAAAGCTTGTTCTGCATCTAACGATATAATCATGTGAATCCTATTTTTACATGTGTTTATGTATTTAATTACATTTATGGTCTTGTGGATATCGAACCAACCCTGCATCCCAGGGATGAAGCCTACTTGGTCATAGTGAATAATTTTTGATATGTGTTGTTAGATCTGATTTGCTAAAATCTTGTTGAATATTTTTGCATCTATGTTCATAAGAGATATTGGCCTGTAGTTCCCTTTCTTTGTTGGATCTTTACCTGGTTTAGGATAGCAGTGTGATGTTAGCTTCATAAAATGATTTGGGGAGAGTTCCATCTTTCTCAATTGCCTGGAATACTTTCAATAGGGTTGGTGTCAGTTCCTCCTCGTATGTTTTGTAGAACTCTGCTGGAAAGCCATCTGGTCCAGGACTTGTTTTTGTAGGTAGTTTTCTTATGATGGAGTTGATTTCCTGGGTTGTTATTGGTCTATTTAACGTCTTAATGTCTTCTTGTTTCAACCTTGGGAGGTTGTGTGATGTCAGAAGGTCCTCCATTTCATTTAGGTTTTCGAGTCTGTTTCCATGCATAGTACTCTCTGATAACTTTTTTGTATTTCTTTGGGGACTGTTGTGATTTGAACCTTTTGAAAACCCAAGAGAATCTGTCAAAAACCTTCTTACATCGATAAAGGACTTTGGCAAAGTCTCGGGGTACAAAATCAATGTACAAAAAACAGTCACAATCTTATTCACCAACAACAAACAGGCAGAGAACCAAATAAAAAGCACAATCCCATTCATAATAGCCACAAAAAAAGTGAAATATCTTGGCATCTTCCTAACCAGAGATGTGAAAGACCTTTACAACATAAACTACCAAACACTGCTCAAAGAAATTAAAGAAGGCACAAACAAATGGAAAAATATTCCATGTTCATGGATTGGAAGAATTAACATTGTTAAGATGTCCATCCTACAAAAGGTAATCTATAGATTGAACACAATACCCATTAAATTTACAAACATCATTCTTTAGACCTGGAAATGATAATATAGAATTTCATATGGAAACATAAACGAGCATGAATAGCCAAAGCAATCCTCAGCAAAAGAAACAAAGCAGAAAGTATCACACTTTCAGACTTCAAACTTTACTATAAGGCTAAAATAATTAAAACAGTCTATTATTGGTACAAGAACAGACATATGGACCTATGGAACAGAGTAGAGATTCCTGAAGCAAAACTTCAATTTCTCAATCGACAAAGCCTCTACCACCAACCACTGGGGAGAGGAGAAAACCTATTCAGTAAATGGTGCTGGGAAACCTGGCTGACCACATACAAAAGATTAAAACAGGACCCCTACCTACACAAAAATCAACTCTAAATGAATCAAAGACCTAAAGGTAAATCTCAGATTGTAAGAACCTTAGAAAATGCAGGAGACACCCTTATGGACATTGGAACTGGCAACCAATTCCTGATCAAAACCCCAAGTGCTCATGCCATAAGAGATCAGATAGACAAGTGGGACCTCATTAAACTGAAAAGCTTCTGCAAAGCAAAATAAACCATTCACAGAGCAGGGAGACAGCCCACAGAATGGGAAAAAATATTTACTAGCTGTATATCTTGCTTACCTAGCTCTTATTGCCATACACATATTAGGAGCTCAGGAAATACATGAAGTACAGGATCATGGATTGCCGGAGACCAGCTCCAGCCGGGTTCAGGGTATCCCAAAGGTGGAGATGGTGTCGGCGATTGGGGGAAGAAGAAACAGAGAAAGAGAGAATGAGAGAAGGAGACTGGAGTCCAGTCTAATGCAGAAGCGATGTGTGTGTTATTGGGAATTACAACGGGTCTTTTATACACAAAGTCAGATGT